CATTCATTCATTCATTCATTCATTCATTCATTCATTCATTCATTCATTCATTCATTCATTCATTCATCATTTTAAAGGCTTCCTCACAAACACTGGAACTGGTCAAACAGCCTCAGTCCAGTGAACTACAACTTTTCATAAACAGACAGCTCTACAAACACATCTCTACAATAAATAATTMTTTTGGTGATGTATCCAGTGTGTTCTCTTTCACTTCTCTTCTTTGTTTATTCTTAATTTTGTCATTTGACCAAACTGTGGCTGCAAATAATCCAACAATAAAACTCAGCTGATCCATTCAAACGTTGTAGMTTTAAATAAGTTAAACTCCCTGAACTCCACAGAATAAATCTTTTCCTTTGGCTGTTTTGGTTTCATGGACTATAGGTTATTTTTACTTGGGTTGTTATTGTAGCTTCTGGTGAAGCTTTAGTTGGCTCTGTGTCCAAAGTCACCTTGTGCCTTCCTGCCAGTGGCACAAACAGAGATCGTCACACATCAGCTCCCACTGGTGGAACTCTGAAAACTTGGTAGGTTGGACGGGATTTTTATGTTTTTAAGTTGTGGCACRTAAACACTTTATCAGCTGACTGTTGGTGACATCTGGGCTTTGTTTGTTTAAGGTGTTGGATTAAGTACACAGATGACACTGAATGACCAACAGAGGACAACAGGAAAAGGAAATAATGAGATTAAAGTACATGTGATAAGAAATTTATAGAAAGATTTACAATTAAAATTTAAAAATCTGTTAGTTATTTTAAAATGTTATTTTTAATCCATAAAAACATGGTATTTGATGCTTGTTAGCTTCCACTGTTGTAATTAAATGTTAGAGGCTAATTTTTACAAATGGCAGTTGCTGTGTGTGGAGGAGTTTCCTGCAGACTGTTGGGTGTTTTTTACAAGAGTTGAAATGAGAGAAATTTATTTGATCAGTGGGAGGAAACAGTACAGGGATAAAACCCACATGTGCACAAGAAAACATGCCAACACCACACAAAAAGTTTTAGGTAAGAGGTGTACGGTGCGGTATGAGGGCCAAAATTAAGACTACTGCATAACCAGCTGTTTGCTCTATCCTCGTAGCAGGATGGAGCCGGTGCCGGCCTATCATTAATCAGATTAATAGCTGGTTAGGAATAGATGTAGCCTCCTGCTACAAGGATGTAGCAACCAATAGTTGTTAGGGGTGTAAGAAAATATCGATACACTGAAATATCGCGATATTTCATTTCCCGATACTGTATCGATATTTTAAAGCCCTGTATCGATTTTTTAATTAAGGTTTAAAATGTCAACTTTCCTGCCAACCGTTCACTTTATGTTGTAGTTCAGCCTCTGACCACTAGTTGGCAGCAGTGAGCCAGMCATTTGGCTCCTCTACCTCTTGAGGTAGAGGCTATTGTTGTGTTGGGTGACCATATTGTAAATTAATATTAAAAACTAAAAGCTGCAAAAATATATTTTCAAACTATTTATTGACAAATTTAGTCTAATAATAGAAAACATGGATGAAATAAGAAACATGAAACAAATAAAATAAAATATATACAAAGCAGAACACAGCTAAATGTATCAAAAGTATGTTTCTGTAATATTAGAATTTTCTGAGACAATGAATTTTGTTTTTTCATTTTTCCCCCCAGTAAGAGGTTTTTATTTAATAGAATTTTTGGACTAAAGAAATCGCAATATATCTCAATATATTGCCTTGCTTACAGTATCGCAATATATYGGGATATATCGTATCGTGACCCTCTGTCATGATATGTATCGTATCGCCAAATTCTTGCYAATACACAGCCCTAATAGTTGTGCAATAGTCTTAATTTTGGCCCTCATACTGCGTCATAAGAGGTGAACCTGTGACCTTGTTGCAGTGGGACGACAACAACAACCAGTGCCACAAATGAGAGAGTTACTTTGCAAAAGCAGCACAGAGTAATAAATAATAAATAAATATAATAATATGTATGTATATGTATAAACATAATGTTGCCTAACTTTACAGTTAGGCAACATTATGTTGCCCAACTGTAAAGGTGTTTCAGTTTTGTTGGGTCCAGACTCASCCAGCTGTTGGCCCCGAGCTCCTCTGTGTTTCTGTGTTGGGAGGCTGATGTCACGATGCAGTCATGTTGTTGTGCTGTCTCACCCTGCTCTGTGTGTGTTGGATGTGTGCGTGAACTGTGTGCGGTGAAATCCAACACGCCGGTCTGATTAGGCCTTTATCAAGGCTCAGCCCTGGTTTTTATCTCTGGAGAAGTAGTCTGTGTGCTTCCAAGCTCCACGTTCCACGGGCTAATCACTGTCAGTGAGCATCCACGTCAGCTCCAGTTTCAACTGTTATCGTGGATATTACACACAGAGTAATGCCACTTAACTGCACTGTTTGGACACGCTGAACTTTGCAAACATTAGTCGAACAAAACTCACATTTCAAGCACCTGATTTTTCAAATGACATTTATTTAACAGTCCTAATTGATCATTTGGCAAATGTGAAAACATTTCAAAGGGAAAGTTTCAAAACACATCTTGAAAAAAAATAGGTTTTAAAAGTATCAGAGGGCAAATGTGTCACTTTTAAATTAAATAGGAAGCGTTCATGTTTGAAGTGATTGAATATTTAAGGGGGGGAAACGTTGCATTAACTTTTAAATAGAAGGAAATCAGATGCAAATTGATRCAAATTGCTGGATCAGATAGTTTCTCAGAGTTTATTTTCTGATATAATCTGAATTTATTTTTTTTAGTTTTGTTCAAAGGTTCCCTGTGGTGTGAAACAGTTTCAATTTCTTAAAGAAATAACGGTAATTTTGCTGCTAATTTCAATCTTGATTCCATTTCCTGGTTGTGAGTTTGTTAAATGTCAGCTGCTGTTTGATCGCTTTTGAATTTATTTTTTAATGTGATTTTGTGAAATGGAGCTCAAGCAGCATGTGTCACTTTCCTCATCATAATGCAACAGTCGTGATTTTTTTATTTATTTATATTTTTAAGCACAGAAAGCACTTTGCATGATGCAATGATAATGTAACCTTGAATGTGTGTTTTTTTTTCTTTATGTTGCCATGGCGATTGCAGGTTGCTGTCCAGGATGGCGGGGATGAAGGAGCAGCAGATCACGGAGGAGAAGCCCCTGCTGCTGGAGCAGAAAGGAGTGGACTCGGACATGGTCAGCCCTCCTTGTTTATCAGCTGAATGTCCTTTTATCTGGCCGTTCACGTGTGATTAGTGCAGCCCTTTAAAGTCTTGGCTTATTCAGACAGACATGTTTGTGCTCATTATTTGGGATGGCTTATAATTCGACAATGTGCTTGTTTACCAGCAGAGACGAAAATTAATGAACTCCATCCAACCACGAGCCTTTGATGACAGTGCAGCGAGGAGATGAAAGCTCATTTGAGCTGTGAGAGGAAGAGAAGGAGCGAATAAAACACACAGAACGGGCAGCAGGCGCTTACATAAACACCACTTATTCCAGTTCACTTCTCCATCAAACAAGCAACAGGTAGAGGCTGAATCAGTGACTACTGAATGGCTCTTCATGCACAAACGATATAATTGCCAGAGACTTGTCTGATGGAAAACGTGACTTCAAGACTGATTCCAGGAAGTCGCTCTCGAAATTATCTCCTGAAACTTTCGGCTCGGTTATATTTCCTGCCGTGCGTGGCGAGGCGAGATGTTTGATCTAAAGAAGAAGCACAGAAAAGGTTACAGAGGAGTAATTGAAACGTCTGAATGGCCAATTACAAAACAGTCAACAAAATGATTAACTACCAGAGAAAAATGAAACAAGCACAAATAAATATGAGGTGATAATTTGTTTCTGATGAGYGTTTTATTTGTGTCACTGACTTAGTGGTGACTCATGTTTCTGTCAGAAATGACACTCCAATCAGCATGAATCTCTCAAACTGCCACTAATCAATTAAAACTCATTAAGCCCGCTCATTTTTACTCTCTGTTGGTAAATAATCAAGGTCATTGATTACTGCCTCATTGATCTGGTTACATGTTGCATGACTCTGTGGGCTGCTGTTTCTTATTCTGCTAACGACTCCCTCTGCTCAGAAACATTCAGTCCAATCAGATGCCTCTCACCACTGATTTAAAGTCTGCAGCTCTGCAGCATGAGTGACCTTTAAGAGTAGTTAGTGAAGTGATCGCCTCCTTACACCGATAAAACTAATTACATTTCATGTTTGACAAAAAAAAACTTTTCTTTCATGTGGGAACAGCTGGAATGAGCTGGAGGAAAATGAAAAAGATRTTTTGTTCTCATGTTTCTGGGTACTTTTTGGAACACTTAATAAAACAAATGTCAAATATGGTTGAAATGTTTTGTTAAAAATAATTTAAAAAACTGAATGCAAGTCACCAGATCATATTTAGTCAATGAGATGACAGGTTCAGTTTGTAAGGGAGGCCTGTTCTGAACCTAACCTGCAGATTTTTGAAATTTCAGACAAAAGTCTCATTTATTTACATGAAGGTGCAGAACTTAAATGTTGTGCTGCAGTCAACCACTAGGGGGCACTTCTCTCCAACTTCAGCTTCATGTATCTATAGTTCTAATCTGTGGTGGGTAGAGTACACAAATATTGTACTGAAATAAGAGTAGCACTACTTCAGCATATTTTTACTCAGGTAAAAGTAAAAAGTAGCCATGCAAGAAATGACTCAAGTAAACTAATATTTGGTAAAAAGGCTACTCAAGTATGGAGTAACTGATCAAGACGTCAATCATTTAATATTTAAAAATTACATAATCTGACTGATCAAAATATAAATCTATGTGGAAATTTTGGTATTTTAAAAAAGAAATGATAATAATTCATATAAATAACATAATTACAAAAAATATATAAAAATAAATAAATAAATATCAAAATCAGTTTTTCTTTTCAATTTGAAATAGATAAAACTGACAAAGATTGCAGGTGTGTCTCTGTCTGTTCTTTATTCAGTGAAGTTACTCACAGTGGGTAGAGTATCCAGGAATTTTACTCAAGTAAGAGTAGTGATACTTCATAATAAAATTGCTCAAGTAAAAGTAAAAAGTACAGCGAAGTAAAAATACTCTTAAAGGTAAAGTTTTTTTCCAAAAATGTACTCAAGTAAATTTAACTGGGTAAATGAAACTAGTTACGACCCACCTCTGGTTATAAAAAGCCCACATGTTGATGTGACCAGCCTGTAGGAAAGGTTTTGACCCGGTCTGGCTCCAGTTCCTGGGYTCCACTCAGAGGATATAAAGTTCCAACCTGTCCATGGACTCTGCAGATCTTTACCCTGACCATCCTGCTGATGCTGGACCAGAATAGTTGCAGTGAAACAGGACAAAATGACTGTTCTGTGGTGTTTGGAAGAGCTGCTCAATCTTTGCTTCAGAAAATAAGAAATGATTTTTGAGCGTCATGTTTTTATGTTGACTGTATGTTGCTGACATGTCTGCTCCTTTGCTGTTTCCCAATAAACACCTTGTTGTGCTTGTTGTTTTGCAACACAGCAGGATAAAGGAGAGGAGGCATCGGCGGGGCAACCATGCCCCAAAAGCCCCGCGCCCTCTAATGACCCCCCTCCCCCCCGCCGCCCCACTCACCGCTGGCATGCCTTCGCACGGCACTGGCTCCGCCAGACCCGCCGTCGGACCAGCGGGGTCATCCCGGTAACTACCAGAACAAGCAGACCAACATCTGACTGGCAGTACACAAAATCCAACACAACACAACTAAAAACAGCTGCACACAACTTTAATTTAACAACTCAATCTATTTGTAAAGTTCTAAGTAAAGCAGGTTGGAACACAGGCTGCTCTTACAGCAAAGTTTCAGACAAGAGGAAGTTCTTGCTTTTTGCAAGACAAATTCATTAAAACCTTTTGTTCCAACAGAATATTACATCAAACACCTCTAAAGTATAAATACTGAGTAATATTAGGCAGAAAACACTCATTTCAAAGAGACAAAATACATTTCAGATGATCTTACAACCAAAACATTTGGCTCAGTTATTGKTGTCATATCATGCATTTGAGCGATGACAGCTGTTTGCAAGTTAATCTTTATTTAAGCTCAACTCTACAGTTTTTCCCCCTTTTAAAAGCTTCCTGATGTTTACTTTTTGTTGCATGAATATGTGGACCAAAAAGGACAAAATGCATCAGTTTAAAGACTAAACCAAAGCTTGTCATCATATTTAAACTATAGCTTTTTAAAATAGGTTTACCTATTTTACTGTGTTGTTTTTATTTGGTAAATGTTATTTAAATCAATATTTAGGATTTCTGCTTAGAATATGGAAGAAACGTTGCATGTAGACAAATCAGCAACAATAAACTGATGATGTGTTACTGGTAAAGTTTCTATTTGAAAACAACCAAAACAAAACTACGGTATACAAGTCTTAGCGTTCTGTTTAGTAGAAATGTCAAATTTGACTACCGGTACCTGTAAATAAATTTTTTTTAAAAATGGACGAGACAGAAAGTGGAGAAAAACAAACTGCTTCTTTAAGGACAGAAAAATTTATCTTAATCCGATTGAACTGTTTTCTTGTCTTTATAGAAATCAGTTTCCAATCATACACCCAGCAATTCAAAAGTTAGCTAAAGGCTAGTCAGCTAGAAGCTAGTTAGCTTAGCATATAAGTAGATTTTTTTTTTTCATTTTTTGTAAATTCTCTTTTAATTCACATATTATTTTGTTTTCTGTTGATTATTGATTTATTAAAATCTTTTTTGGGTAAAAAAAAATACAAATTAGGAAAAAAAATGGCAGAACTGTCACCTTAGTGTATGAATTAAAGTCATTTTATTGGTCAAAATTGTGTAAATAATAGAATTAAACAAAGGAATACTGGCATTAAAGTCAGTTTTTACAACTTATAAATTGGTTTTTATTTATTATACTTCAAATGAATTAGTTTTAGACTCATTAGTTGTCATTTTGTTACTTTAGTTCAGCTATAAAAACAACCTGAGCCTGCTGTAAAATCCATTTCATCCCTTCTGGACTTCATAAAGTCAGATCCTTGATCCTTCGGGACCCRGTGTTGTTGTGAGAAATCCTTCGGAATATAAAAACGCTTAAAGTCGAGGTCAAAATTTGCATTCATGAAATCAGCTTTCAGACGCAGGAAGCCCGWCAGAGTTTCCTCACAGCAGCTGATCAACATGCAGCCTCACGCATCACACAGTCTGCAGGGATCAAAAAGGCTAAACGAGGACTCACATCACCTTTAGGAATGCATTTCTTTGCTTCAATCTCCTCAACACATTCCTCACATGCAGTGTGTGGGTGGTATTAAGGTAAAAACAGAGAGAAGAGTGCCACCTGCTGGTCCGACCACCATACTGCTATTTCTCCTCTAAAAGCAAAGAAACCGCCTGCATGAGAACTACAGAGWCTGAAGTTGCTCTTTTAGTTTTAGAATCAGAACTGGGTTTGATGGATTCCCTGCCTCTCAGCCCTCCAGCTGTTCTGGTGAAGATGCAACACATGGTGGAAGTTAAAAGCCCTGAAAGCATCAAACGCAGCTTCAGACCCTGGAGTTTTTAGCACTTGTTTCTCCTTTTCTTTTTAGTCGTGTCCCTGCCCTGACTTTGAGCCCCCTCTCATGTCGTTGTAGCTAATGAACTCAAATGTGACTTCATCTTTCCACAATCCAGCATTGTTCTGTGTTGTATCCATTGTTAACACTGTCATGTTTCCTTTCAGGGGTATCTTCAGAAATCCCCGCCTGACCTCACAGATYAGCAGCGTTGCGTGTCTAACAATGAAGCGAACCATCTGTCTGTGCCRACAGGCCTCTGACCTCACATGCATGCCCTTAAGTTTTGATTTAGTTTCTTTTGGTTTCTGTGCAGCTGTCCAGATGTTGGCGCTCTGCTGCAGGCTTCACAGAGGCAGCAGAGCAGACCTGAATGATGTGGTTCGAATGGTTGCACTGACACTGGTGTGCTGGAGAAGTGTTAAATCATTTCATGTTAGATTTTTTTTGAGCAAGTGTTTTATACCATATTTATGTAAAAACCCTGGTTCATTTCACTGCATTGGTTTTCTCTAAAGGGTGACTTTACAGGTTTTGTATTTGTCCTAAAACAAACCAAAAGAAATTATCCTTTAAACAGAGACAAGATTCTCTCAAAATTAGAAGCTGGTCATGAAATGAAGGTTTTACATCCAAACTTCAGATTGATCAGAAGTCATCTTGACCTCACACCGTCTGTCTTATTTCAGCACAGAAAGAGTTTGATCATCTCTTACAATTTTTCTCCCTTCACTACAGTGGCCAGATCAGAAAAACGTTAGTTTAAGACCTGGACTGTTGGCTTTGGCTCATCTTTGTTTGCTGATCTGGATCAGATTCGAGGCTCCTTGCTGTGAGGGGGGGTCTGACTGCAGCTCCGTCTCATTGTGTTAAAAACATCATCATTCATCACTTTTTAACATCCAGTTCTCTGCAGTTTCCCACATGTGCTTCAGCAAAGGATCTTTGTGGTATGAAGGTTCAAATCATGACACAAATCATGATTGACATTCCAGATGAAAACCACAAAAACCTCTGGAAACTTAAAGCACCTCTAAAGAGCATTTGATCACTTTAAATAATTAATCACTTCCTGATAAAGACTGATTTATAAAGGATTTAAAAATGTATCAATGAATTTGTAAACAGAAGCAGAAAGCATTAATGAGCATTTAAAAAAATAGTTGTAAACACATTGAAGAAGGCTCAACCACTGGGTCAAACGTTTTATTTTTACTGTTGTTTTACCTTTATTTAAACAACAAATATAAATACATTTATAGACAAATATCTGGGTAAACCTACCAAAAATCCAACAACTTTAACCTGTTTAACCAAAAAGTTTTCATAGATGCTTATTTTGATTTTCAAACTAATTATCTTTATTTATCAAAAAAATAATTAAATTAAAAGCTCTAGAAAATCTCAGAGTGTTCTCATGCAGATAATATACTTTTTACATTAAAATAGTGAAAGAATAAACAAAATTACGGTACTTGATGAAGTCACAGCGAATTTGTTTTATATGATCAAAGTTTYATTAGAACTATTTTATAAATTGAGTTATAAAATGTTTACAAGGTCCTGAAGATTTTTAAACACTTCAAATCAATCTTTCATAAAAGGGCTCCTAGGAGGAAGTGGTGTCACAAATTTGTATTACTTGTTTTTAGGATGAATTTGTTCTTTCAGTCCTGAGTCGACTGATGAAAACATTTAGGTCTGACTGATGACAGCGACCTCCTGCGTTRCAGAAAACAGAAGTTTTATGGTTTTTATAAACAACCTGAAAACTTCAGTTTCTACCATTTATTTTAATCATTATGTCTTCTATATGTTGCAAACAGTTTCAATGGTTTACTGTA